GTATCATAGAAGATACTATGATCATACAGATAGTAAAAGGAAAATCTCATCCTGCATCTCTCATGCTATTTCTTCCTTCAGGTATGCAGTCCTAAGCTTATTTACCTATGAGCTAGCTCTGTTGAACCCCATAGAGTTTATTTTTAAATTGGACTGAACATTTTTGCATTTTCATTTTTCTGGTTGGATGTTTTGATCAGCTATTAACTGCAGATACTTTAAAAACATATTAAATTTCCTCCTTTTAAATTTGATTTGGTTTGGATGAAGATGGACAGCTTTGAAATTAAGAATCTCTTTTCAATCTCATTACAATCCAATATGTATAAACTTCCTTAAAGGCAAATCTTCCTGTGTTCAAATGAAACTTACTCCTAGATACACTATTAGTGAACTATATTAAAAAAAACAATTAATTCTTAGTTAGCTGGATTAACCTAATTGCTTGGGTTCCCACAACTTAAGAAACCATAAATTAGCCAGCCTAAATTGTTGTTCCAATTCAGTATACTTGACTGAACATCTCTCAGACTGCAAAAAGATATAAATACTGTTTCTAGTAATTAGTAGACCTCCAAATCTTTAGCTTGCTTACCTATTTAAATGCTATATTCATACATTGTAATAAACCACTGTTTATTTAACCATGATTTATAAAATAATTGGCAGTTCATATAGCATACTAAATCATAAAACATAGTTTACAAGCCATTAATGACTTTGTTCTTATGACATGCTGAGACACAAAGAAACCATCTTATGACTCATCATGCTGTATGAATCCAGCCTCGGTAAAAAGTACATATTTCAGCATGGTACATTCAAGAGATAATTAAAAGATTAAAATATGAAAGACAAACAATCATTGCAAATAATCACATAATAAACTACAAATCTTCAATAACCAATTAAAACTATGTAGTATTTAAATTAACAATACATGGAATCTCAATACTCTAGCAAATAGCTGCACAATCTGAATAATGAAAAATCCATGAACAATAAAATTGTTAAAGTTTAGATTTCACTTGTTTAGGGCCAGATTTTACAATATCATCCTATCTTTGGTCACATTCTGCTGTATTCTGCCTGAAATACATTTTCAACTCTTATTTAAGATGTGATAATTGATTGTTGTCCAAAGAGCCTTAGGATGCTCATTCCATAGTCTAGAAGCAGGTTCTGGAAAGCCCCAAGACATAAGGTCTCAGGGGAAGTAAGTCCCCCCCAAAAAATTTTCAACCTCCCTGCACCACCTGAAAATATTACACCAAAAATAAGAAACAGATGATGCACAATTGGGTCATAAGATCCTTAGAAATAAAACCAAGCATTTACATATATTGGACCTTTGCTCTTACAGGAAGCCAATGAATGGAATATTTTTCAAGGAAAAGGATACCAGAAACACATTGATTGTAGCAATATCACTTGCTTTAGGCCAACTTAATAATCTTTTTTCCTCTGTTTTTATTTGGGGGGGGGGGGGCGGGATTTTTAAGTTAAGGGAGTTGGAAGAGCAAGAAGGAATAAGCAAGAAGGAGCAAGTAGAGCCAGTTTGGTCTAGTGGTTAAAGCATATATACATGCATGCATACATACATACAGACATAAGTCTTTTCAGGAACTGGTCCCAATATAGTGGGAGGCTAGAGTAAACCTTTGCTCTCCTTATTTTCTTCCCATGTAATGGAATGTTATAAAGTAGGGGTGTCAAACTCACATCGACATGGTGGTGTCACATGATGTATTTCCCTCCCTTTGCTAAACCGGACATGGAATTGGCCAGCACGTGACACATCTGGGCCGTTGGCCTGGAGGTTGACAGCCCTGTTATAAAGGGAAGAAACAAAATGTGGTATACTGCAGAATTTTATTTCATATCTGATCCATTCTCTCATTTTGATATTCCAGAGGCTACAAGGGAGATTAATCTCAAAGTAATCCTCTTCTGGATTCAGATTAAACAGATCTTCCAGGGAAGGTTAAGTAGTCCAGTGGCAAATTTGGAAACAAGCCAAGGTGTGTCATTAAAACATTTCACCTTGTTTTATCCACAAAAATTTCAATGACTGTCTTAGTAGGTTGTGAGCTACCTGACCTTCCAAATCCTGGTTGTTTGATCATAGTTAACAGAATACATCACAAGTTGTTAAGTTTACCCAGAATACTAATCTATCTATCTATCTATCTATCATCTATCTATCTATCTATCTATCTATCTATCTATCTATCTATCTATC